AAAATCCCCCCCAAAAACCCAGCTCAAAATCTCCCAAAATTCCCCCCAAAATCCCTGAAACTCCCCCCAAAAACCCACTGGAAAATTCTTCCAAAATTCCCTGAAAAGTCACTCCCAAAATCACCCAAAACTCCACTTCAAGATCCCCCCCAAACTCACTAGAAATTCCCCACAAAATCCCTAAAAATCCACCACAAAATCACCAAAATGTCCCTTGAGACACCCCAAATGCCTTTTGGGACCCCCAAAACACCCCCTGGGACACCCCAAATACACTTGGGACACCCCAAAATCCCCAGAACATCCCCTGAGACACCCTAAATGTCTCTTGGGACCCCCAAAACACCCCCTGGGACACCCCAAATACACTTGGGACACCCCAAAATCCCCAGAACATCCCCTGAGACACCCTAAATGTCTCTTGGGACCCCCAAAACACCCCCTGGGACACCCCAAATACACTTGGGACACCCCAAAATCCCCAGAACATCCCCTGAGACACCCTAAATGTCTCTTGGGACCCCCAAAACACCCCCTGGGACACCCCAAATACACTTGGGACACCCCAAAATCCCCAGAACATCCCCCGGGACAAAATCCCTGAAACTCCCCCCAAAAACCCACTGGAAAATTCTCCCAAAATTCCCTGAAAAGTCACTCCCAAAATCACCCAAAACTCCACTTCAAGATCCCCCCCAAACTCACTACAAAATTCCCCACAAAATCCCTAAAAATCCACCACAAAATCACCAAAATGTCCCTTGAAACACCCCAAATAGATTTTGGGACCCCCAAAGCACTCCCTGGGATACCCCAAATACATTTGGGACACCCCAAGATCCCCAAAACGTCCCCTGGGACACCCCAAACACCTTTTGGGAACCACAGACTCCCCAAAATCTTTCTGGGATCCCCAAAACATCGCTTGGGATGCCCCAAATGCCCCCTGGGACACCCCAGATGCCTTTTGGGACCCCCAAAACACCCCCTGGAACCCTCAAAACACCCCCTGGGACACCCCAGATACACTTGGGACACCCCAAAATCCCCAGAACATACCCTGAGACACCCTAAATGCCTTCTGGGACCCCCAAAACACCCCCTGGAACCCTCAAAACACCCCCTGGGACACCCCAGATACACTTGGGACACCCCAAAATCCCCAGAACATACCCTGAGACACCCTAAATGCCTTCTGGGACCCCCAAAACACCCCCTGGGAGCCCCAAAACATTCCCTGGGACACCCCAAATACATTCGGGACACCCCAAAATCCCCAAAACATCCCCTGGGACCCCCCAAAACACCCCTAGGGACCCTCAAAACACCCCCTGGGACACCCCAAAATCCCCAGAACATCCCTTGAGACACCCCAAAACGCCCCCTGGGACCCTCAAAACACCCCCTGGGACACCCCAAAATCCCCAGAACATCCCCCGGGACACCCCAAAACACCCTCCGGGACACCCCAAACACCCCCTGGGACACCCCAAATACACTTGGGACACCCCAAAATCCCCAGAACATCCCCTGAGACACCCCAAAGGGGGGGGATTTGAGGGGGTCCCAGAGGGTTTGGGGGGGGATGGAGAGGAGTTTGGAGAGGCTGGAGAGGAATTTGGGGGGATTTGGGGGAGTCGCAGAGGGGTTGAGGGGCTGTAAGGGAATTTTGGGAGAATTTGTGACGGATTTTATGGGAGGTTGGGGTGCTGGACAGCGGTTTGGGGGGATTTATGGGGAATTTTAGGGGGTTTATGGAGGATTTGGGAGGGTCCCAGAGGGGTTGGGTGGGTGTGGAGAGGGATTTTGGGCATCCTGGGTGTGATTTGTGGAATTTTGGGTTTCCCGAGTGGGACTTGGGGAACCCTGGGTGGCATTTTGGAGATCTCAGGTGGGATTCTGGGTATCCAGGGTGGGATTTTGGGGAATCATGGTTTGAATTTTGGGGATCCTGGGTGGCATTTTGGAGATCTGGGGTGGGATTTTGGAGATCCCAGGGGGGATTCTGGGGATCCAGGGTGGGATTTTGGGGAATCATGGTTTGAATTTTGGGGATCCTGGGTGGCATTTTGGAGATCTGGGGTGGGATTTTGGAGGTCCCAGGTGGGATTTTGGAGATCCCAGGTGGGATTTTGGAGATCCGGGTAGAATTTTGGGAATCTTGGGTTGGATTTTTGAGATCTGAGAGGGATTTTGAGGATCCCGGTGGGATTTTGGAGATCTGGGAGGGATTTTGGAGATGCAGGGTTGGATTTTGGAGATCTGAGAGGGATTTTGGAGATCTGAGAGGGATTTTGGATATCCGGGGTGGGATTTTGAGGGTCCTGGGAGGGATTTTGAGAATCCCGGGTTGGATTTTGAGGATCCAAGAGGGATTTTGAGGATCCTGGGAGGGATTTTGGGGAACCCTGGTTGGATTTTGAGGATCCCGGGAGGGTTTTTGGATATTTGGGCTGGGATTTTGGGAATCCCGGGAGGGTTTTTGGGGCTCGCGGCCGCTCCAGGGCTCGTGTCCGGGGCTCGCAGGTGCCGGAGCTGGAGCTGACCCCCCTGCGCACCCCCGGGGCGCTGCCCCCCACCCTCGCCCACGGCACCCGGCGCCGCCTGTGGGGCCCCATCCGGGCGGGGGGGCTGCGCCCCATGGGGCGGCAACACCTGCACCTGGCGGGGGGGCTGCCGGGGGACCCCGGGGTGCGCAGCGGTGAGTCACCCCCCCAAAAAAAACCCCAGCCACCCCAAAAACGCTCCCAAGACACCCCTAAAACCCCCCTGGCACACCCCAAAAAAAACCCCCAGGGCACCCCAAAAAAACCCCCTGGGATACCCAAAAAACCCCCCGGAACACTTCAAAAAACCTGCCCGGGACATCCCAAAAAAACCCCCGGGACACCCCAAAAAAACGCCCCCGAGGCACCCCAAAATACCTTCCCCTGGACACCCCTAAAACCCCCCCGGCACACCCCAAAAAATCTCCTCGAGACACCCCAAAAAACCCCCCTGGGGCACCCCAAAAGAAACCCCGCGGGACACCCCAAAAATCCCACCCAGGACACCCCAAAAAAATCCCTCGGGACACCCCAAAAAATCCCCCTGGGGCACCCCAAAAGAAACCCCGCGGGACACCCCAAAAATCCCACCCAGGACACCCCAAAAAAATCCCTCGGGACACCCCAAAAAATCCCCCTGGGGCACCCCAAAAATCCCACCCGGGACACCTCAAAACCCCCCGAGATCCCCAAACCCCGCAGAGACCCCACACCCACCTGGCGGGGTAGACCCTGACGTGCGACCCCTCCCCAAAAACAAGCCCAGGTTTTGGGTGGATTCAGGGTTTGGGGGGTCCGGGGTTGGGAGTTGGGGGGTCTGGGGTTTGGGGGGGTCCCGTTGCCATGGTAACAGCTTCTCTGTTTCCCCCCCAGGGTGTGAACTGCCCCTGGATGGGCCCTGGGACGAGGAGGGGGGAGAGACCCCCAGATGAGGATTTGGGGAGGGGTCTGAGCCCCCCCCCCACGAGGATTTGGGGGCTCAACCTCTCCCCCCATCAGGATTTGGGGGGAGTCTGAGCCCCCCAGGCCCCCCAGACCCAAATAAAACCCCCCTGAGCACCACGAGCGTCTCACGGCGGGGTCAGAGCTCAAACCCCCTCCCCAAAATAACACCCGGGGGAAGCCAGGACCCCCCCAAGTCCCCCCCAGTTTCTAAATCGGATTTCACACAGAAATTCTCCTTTATTGCCACATCCACCGGGATCTGGGGGATCCCAGGGGATTTGGGGGTGTTTTGGGGGTCCCGGGGGGGTCCCGGGAGTTTTGGGGGTCCCGGGGGGGTCCCTCAGCAGATCCCGCACGTTTCCCTGCGGCCGAAGCGGCGCCGCCGGGGCTCGAGGCTCCGCAGCAGCTCCTCATCCTCCTCCTGCGCCCTGCGGGGGTCGGGGGGCGTCGGGGAACCCCCAAAAAATCCCCCGGGACCCCCCCCAAGCGTGTCCCTCGGTGTCCCCCCGGTGTCCCCACCTGCTCTCGCGGCGGTGCCGGTCCCGCACCAGCCGGTCCCGCCGGTTCACCAGTGCCACCAGTTCCTCCAGTAAGAGCTGCTCGCGCTGGCGCTGCGCCGGCGGCTTCTGCCACTCTGGGGGGGTCCCCAAATGTCCCCCGAAAGGTCCCCAAATGTCCCTCGAAAGGTCCCCAAACCCCTTTGTGCCCCCTCCTCCGGTGTCCCCCTCTAACACCCGCCGTGTCCGTGTCCCCAAATGTCCCCAAGCGTTCCCGATGTCACCCTGTCCTGCCCGATGTCCCCCTGTCCTGCCCGATGTCCCTGCCGTGTCCTCCCACATCCCCAGTGTCCCCAAATGTCCTCCTGCCCCCCCAAAATGTCTTCCTGCCATCCTCAGAGTCCCCATCCCACTCTTTGTCCCTCATGTCCCCCTGTCCCCAATGTGTCCACAATGTCCCCTCGATGTCCCCAATGTCCCCTGCTCTGTCCCCAGCATCCCCCCGTATTTCCTGTCTCCATGTCCCCAATGTCCCTCTGTCCCCAGTGTCCCCCCAGTGTCCCCAGTGTCCCCAGTGCCCCCCCGTGTCCCCCTGTCCCCCGTGTCCCCTGTCCCCGCTGTCGCACCCTCTGTCCCCAGCAGTCCCCTCAGCTCCTGGCTCAGCAGCTCAAAGCGTCGCTCCAGGTCCCGCTCCTGCGCCCTGGGGGTGACACCAGGCGACAAGAAGGGGACAAGGAGGTGTCACCGGGGCTGGCAGAGCCCCCCGGCAGCGCCCCCAGGGTCCCCTCGCGGACACCGGAGCGGGGGGGGCACGGGGAGGGGACGCGGAGGGAGGGTGGCGGTGTCGCCGCGGTGTCCCCGCGGTGTCGCCGCGGTGTCGCCGCTGTCCCCTCACAGCAGCTGCAGCTGGTCCTGTCGCCGCACCAGCAAATTCCGCTGCTGCACCAGCGAGAACCAGGCCCGGAGCAGCCGCTCCTCGCGCGCGGGGTCCGCGCCTGGGGACACGGGGACATCAGGGGACAGCGGGGACACGGGACAGCGGGACATGGGGACATGGGGACACGGGACAGCGGG